ACTGTTACTTGTTCAATATATATATATATATATATATATATATATATATATAAGGGTTCTTTGAATAGTTCATAAGAAAAGCATTTATTTGAAACAATGTCTTAACTGTTCATTTTGATTAATGTAATGCATCCTTGCTAAATAAAAATATTAATTTCTATAAAATATGTAAATAAATAAATTCTTCCTGACACCAAACTTTTGAATATCATTGTATGTATAAAACTTTGTGAATAAACGTTCCAATTTTGTGGAAACCCGTGGCACTGGAGTTCTGTGGGTGCAGATTCTGTGTGGGTTTGGTGACGTACTAAGGAAAGTGATTGCTATGAACACAGTCAGAACTGAAGTGGCTTTACCTTTGAAGGTTTGTTGAAGAGACACGCACCACCTCCACTGTTCAGGAAATCATTATACTCTTCCACGTTACAGTCAGAAAATCTCTTGGGTAAGTAGAAGCTGTTAGAGAGAACCACAAAGCACTAGAGTCATACTGCCTAACTTTACTTTCACGCTCTATGTTTAACACAACCTATAAAAAAGGCTATAAAAAAGAGTGTTTGTAATGCTAACCAAAGTCTCACTGAGCTTAAACTGAAAAGCAACAAACCTTACCTAAGTCACCACGTTTACATGCACATTGTTTTCTGATTAAGGTATTTTAGCCATCATTTTGAAAACAATTCCTGAATGCTGCACATGTAATTATATTACAAATAAACTAAGATATGCAGATTCTTTCCCCACTAATCCTATATGGAAATACTGGAGGCGCTTACCAATAGAGGAGAATTATTTTTCTTTGGCCATATGTATATGTAAATGAACAAAAGGATGTTCCAATTACAAATAAAAAAGCATTTATCATTATTACAGGGAAATGCCAGCTGCCCTGTTCAGATTGGTTTATGACGATCAAGTTAAATCACATTTACATGACACATACTCTAAATAATCAGAATACGACCAAATTCCAAAATCAAATTGTTCATGTAAACCTGGTCACTGTTGTGGAAAAGTTCTCATGGGGGCAAATTAATGCTAAAAATTACAGGCTTGGGACGGAAAACAAGATTAATGTGAACTGGTCACACTGAATGTAAACATCAGTCTGGTTAAATGGGGAAATGGTTATGTAGCTACTGACTCTTTTTCATTCAGACCAGCAGAGGGCAGGACTCAGACACAAAGAACAATAAAACACATTGTACAAACAAACACAAGGGCTACAGCAGCCAGATTTGTTGAAAATAGGTTGTAAGAATCAGTCAATTCCCTGTATTTACAGGCAGACCTTTACCTCTTCAATATGGTGGACATGCAGTGTATTGCATTATATATAAATAACAGTTGCTAAATGCATTCACATCTACATTTACATTTATTGGTTGCTTATTAGCATGCATATTACTAGAAGACTGGCTGTTTATTAGTACTTATAAAACACATATGAATGCCTTATTCTGCATGACCATATTTTAGTCATGCATTTTTTCTTAAGAACACCCTGCAAGTTCACAAAACCTAGTTTGGGAAACTCTGGTCTGAAATACCACTCTTTCTTTTTAGGTGAATCCTCTGATTCTGATGACCCTTTCCTCATTCTTCCATCTGCATCCAATAGATGCAAATCACAGTTTATCCACTTGTAAACACAGAGGTGTGGCAGTACGTTCAAACTGTACAAGAACGCTGAACACTGCTCAGCCTGTATCAGCTGGGTCGCTGCCCTCAATATCATTCCGAGGCTTTAAGCACTATTCCAATCTGTGACAATCTGCAACAATGCAGTTTCAGGAATCCTTAACCGGAGACTGAGAATCAATAAGTGCATATCTCACAGTATGCCATGTGTAAGTGGTTACTCTTCGTTTACCAGTGGCTAAGCGTGATCCTGGAATATCACGGCACCTTGTCTTACCTGCTTGAGTAATTAATTTTAAAGTGTTGCAGACATTTTCACAGGATTGTTAACAACTGGTAGACATACTTAAAGGGGGAAAACAGAGAACACAAAACATCCTGCCACATTAACAATGGAGTTAGTGGATCAGATCGGACATGCAGGCTGCACGGAAAATAAACTTCTCAAAACATCCATCAATGGAGAGACAGATTGACATGAGCATGTCTGTCTGAAAGGCCATTGATACTAGTGTTAATAACATGAGCCGTGAGAGTGTGTTGTAGCTTTCAGGAAATTATGGATATATATATCAAAAACAACCCAACTACATCATATGTGCATGTTGAAACCAGAGGACTTTCTCATACTCAGAAGTTTGGACTTTTTGCCCCACTAGTCCCATATTCTCCTGATAGTGAGAAAGTGCTTAGCTCTGTGTGGTGATTACAACACTTTTTCTCTTAGTTTTTCATCTTCTACACATGGTATTTCAGTTTGGAGGTCCAAAGGAGGAGTTGAGGAAACCTTTGCATTGAAAAAACTGTTAATGACTAATATATGTGTTCAGAAACATGACTTGTGAAGAGAAGAAGTCTTATTTGAGAAGCTAAGCAAACAGCAAGACGGAGGGTGAACACACACTGAGAGTGCTGGTGTGAATTTCAGCTAACGTCCTGTCAGTAAGCCATTATACATCAGATGGCAGATGGCAGTCACTTTTGTCACCATAATTCTGATTATCTAATTGTATTATAAAAGCAGACTTTTGTATTTAGAGGTAGACTGTGTGTGTGTCACACATGCTTTATGACATTTGGCATCAGCATGAAATCATGATTGTTCTGTTCTTTTGAGTATGAATGACTGCAGACAGTTTTAAACACTTTAAAGGGGACATATCACGGAAAATTTGATTTTCCTCGATCTTGTGAAATAAAAGAGTGATACTGCAATTTTGGAACTCAAAACTTCCATTCCAAAAAAAACTATGCTGCAAAAAAATCTTTATACTTATGACCATACAAGGACGTAAACTGGTGTTCAGCTACTTGATTTTGTTGTGGATTTTTTTTTTTTTTTTTGCAGAAAGGCTTTTACTTAATTATGGTAACGTTCAAACTATATAGATCCTGACAACAGCAAACCCCAAAAAAGCCTGTTTAATTCTAGGAGGTGGAAAATACTGAAAAATCTTAGCTAATATTATCAGACTGAAATGCATGATATGACCCCTTTAAACTGAGAGGACCCCTATAACCCTCTCTTAACGAAACATGTCCCACTATGAGCTATCAGCCGAATTAAAAACCAGTAAAAAAGAGAGCACATAGGAAACTGCAGAATATTCCAACACAATGCAGCTTCTGCCATATTGCTCTCTTGACTGAATAAAATTGAGGCCATAATGCTATTAGATGGAGTGAGGGGCTGAAAAGACTCAGCAGCTGACTGGTCGACAGGACACGAGCGAGTAGCATGACACAACCAAGCGTCTGCTCACCTGCTGTCCCATTCGGGATTGAGGGGAAATGCAAAAGGTATTAAAACACATGGATAAAGACAAACCAACACACACAGACGCACACTATGACATGAACAAAATCGCTTCACAGGTATCTGATCACTTCACATCAAAGCATTTCTCGAATAACCACTGTGAACATTTCTGACTGTTTTAAGCATATATACTAATTATTAGCTGTGGTTTGTTATTCTGTTAATACAATTTTTCAGTTTGACACTGAAAAACACTGTCTGTGAATGTTAGATTGCTAAAAAAAAAAAAACGTGAACAGTGAAATTTCAAAATCCACATGTGAAATGTCAACAGTGGAGAGCCAAACATAGAAAATCGGACTATAATGATCAATAACACTTTCTCATGACATTTTGAGGATATCATGTTCTAATTTTACACAGGAGTTCATATTTCAATCTTACAAAAATGCTCTATTTCAACCCAATATCAAAAGAAAAAAATATGTATTTGGCATAAAGAAAACAGTATTTTAGAAATAAAGTTTTATTTGCAGTGTATTTTGATGATAATTAAGAACATTAACATTCATCTGGATGTCATCTGGAGTTTTTGTGTAATGTTCAATTGTGATTCTTATTACTTTAATACAATAAAATAATTCATTTTTGGCACATTACAATAATAAGACTTGATTTTAGGCTGAAATGTGAAATCTGCATATTTTGTGGAAGGTTTTGTGAGATTCACCCTCACAGATTGTAATGCTAATTTACCCACCCATCAACAGTCTGTGAGGCTCCCGTGAAAATGAGAACAGGACACAAATACGAGTAAGCGCTGAGACAGATGAATTGAGAAGCCAAATTATTTACTGCCACCTAGTGGAATTCATGAAATAGTGTTTAAATCTGTCTCAAAGTTTCTCACTGGCTGCCAGTTAACAACATCTGACGTGACAGAAAGTGTTATGGATCAGTGAGTGGCACAGATTTCAAACACTGTTACTTTGACTACATTTAATTTAAAGTTATTTAAGCAACAAAACACATGAACACAGACTCAGCACAAAGCATGACAGGCTGTTTCAGTAAGACTAATGTGCATGTCCAATAGGGTCTCAAAACGTAAGTGAGTTATGTGTATGTGTTAGGAAATCTGGGAAATCTGCTTTATTAGAAACTTACCCAACATCATCCATTATGCAGCCAGACCATTTATCTTCACACTTGCACTCCCCTGTGAGGGAAAGACGAAGACGGATTACAGTGACAAACTATGAGAGTCTGTTTGTGTGAGTACTCCTGTATTTACTGCCAAAGCACATACAAAAAATATAAAAGTTGAATAGGAAACGAGAACACTCACCATTTAAAATGCGTTTCTTATCAGAAAATATGCCGATATTTTGTCCTAGTGACTGGGCGAGAGCTATGGCCATTTCTTCGGTCTTTCCATACTAACAAATTAGAGAGAAAAAACACCCAAACAAAAGCCTTTGAGACTGATAAACAGATTAATTTTCATTAGTTAAAAGCATCTTTCATAACCATAACCACAAACCTCATTGACTCCGCCTCCTTTAGTGAGTGAGCAGACTCCGCCCACATATGAGGCTCCTCCCCAGTTGCTATGGAAACGGTTGCCTCTAAAAGAAGAGAGAAAACTGATTAGAAATGCCACTTTACCTGATCATAAAACTAATGTCTGCTGTGTATTTTTTGATAACTCACGAAAAAAGATGAACGGAGTCACACTTTTCTTTAATAAAGTCTCTTCGGTACTTCATAAACTCTCGTAATGTCACCATGGGATCGTCATTGATGTTAAATCTGTTGTCTGCAGCCCATGTTTCCATCGCAACCAAGACAATTCTAGTGTTGAGTTGCTCTTTGAAGTACTGCAGATACAAACAAAAATGTTTTATTAACAAGAGGTGAACAAAGAATTCTATCTTTTTCATGTAAATCTGTAACCACAAGACACACATGATGACTGCAGGATGATGGATGTTTTTTTTATTTTTTATTCTAGAGCTCAATTTGACATATTGAACAACAGAGTGAAGCAGATAAATGCCAACTGTCTCTCACAGAGAGAGAGAGAAATGGAGGGATGTTTATGTGACTGTCAAGGGCAGACAGACTGACAAACAAACAGATAAAGCAGCTCATGACGTGACTGTCAGAATGCACAAGGTCTATTTGTCTTGGGAAACCGATGAGGATCAGCCTTCTGTTTAATGGATATACAGTGTAAGAACAAAAATTATTAAAAGGATATATTATTAAATATATTATTAAAATTAATAATAGAAGACTATGAATTGTATACATTAGCAACTTACCAGATCAGCCATATTTACAACAGATTTGGCGTAGTTATTCGTTTGTCCAACGGAAAGGCGATGTTTCTTGTACTGGGAAAAATTCATGTGAATACATATTAAAATGAATGCATTGCAGGCATTAAGAAAGAAAACAATGATAAATTGGTTAATATGTTGGTTAATATGTTGGTCACTCAACTTACCATTAAATGATCATTTATGACCATCAGCTCTATATATTTGGTCTCATCTGAAACACTCCGTGGATTTCGCGATATCTGTGTGAGAAATTTGACAGTGCATCATTTTCATGTAGTTTATGACTCTGATTAGCTCTGAGACAGTGACAAGAAGAGATTGGAATCGTAATGAATCTGGATCCAATTCCAATTAAGGAATCTTGTTACTTTACGATTCCATAAACATTTCTTTTAGTTTTGAAGAAGAAATTAATACGTAAAGTGTGGAAAATAATTCTTAATGCATTCAATACTATCAGCAGCCTGTTACGAAATAATTAGATGATTTAAGATCTAAACGGAACAGTAATAATTCAAAAATATTTTTTTATCCCAAAAAACAATGTATCACACACTCAGAAGTTTTGTTCATTATTGTGCATAGACTGACATGCACTGACATTGCGTTGTCATGACAACAGTAAAGTTTAACAGTTGCACTGATGTGAATACTGCATATTTTATTTATATTTTGTTAAAGCCTTCAGGCAACATCAGTAGAAAAATGCAGATGTTCTAGAACAACAGAATCAAATTATTATTCTATTATTATTTAATATGATATAGTATTATATCATTTATATAATATTATTCCAATATTATTTTAAAAAGGAAAGCATTCTGAACTATTCGTGATTCCCAATCCTAGTGACAAACATGTTTCATATCATCACCCTGCAGCATGCAAAACATGCTTACTGCAGAGAAACAGCTGATCTATACATTAGTGCCATAAAGAGTCCACAGCACTGCTGCAAATATTTGATGGGGATGAAAAGAAAGACACAGAAGAAACAGAAAGAGAGCAGCACTTACAACAGCACTGAAATCACATCAGATCACACACCCACAAACACAAACAATGAGCCATGCGTGTTATAAGTATACACACCTGTCTCCTTTTCCTCCTGTGGGCGGCACTAGACAGTGGAGGGTTCTGGAACGGTGACTCTGCCAGGTGATCTTAAACAAATATTAACTATCAGTATGGACAGTTGAGCACAAAGTGCATGCACACAAAAATAACTCATTCTGCTTTATTAATTATCACCCATGGGCCCTTATATATAGTATACTCATGCTATATACATCATGCTTTATACCTGAACACGAGAATGGTTCATACCTGCAGAAATTAAGTCCTCTGGGGGGTCCAAACCAGGAGACTGATAAATCATGTGCACATGAACCTCCTCCTACAGGGAAAGAATCCGAGGATATGATATGATTCATATTTGTCAAATACCCCTATGTAACACTTAAGAGAGTTTGATGAGACACACTGTTAAGTTTTTATAAGAAAGAGACAGACAGCACATATAATCACATTTCGATTTAGGCAATTTGTGTCTAAAAGTTCTAAATGTACTAATTACAATATTTTGTAGGCCTAAACAAGTTTGTTACAGTATGTTACGGTTTTGTTGTTTAAATTAATTTTCCTCAAAAGATTTTTTAAATGTTTATACAGACTTTGACAAAAAATATGACTATCCTATTCACAAATGTGACATCAAGCTTATTGTGAGGAAATAGTTAAGACAGTTTAGAACAGTGATGGGCAAACTTGGCCCTTCCAGGCCACTTTCCTGCAGAGATTTGTTCCAACCCTGATAAAACTCACCTGCCTGTAGCTTTCTAATAGTCTTGAAGACAATGATTAGCTGGTTCAGGTGTGTTTGATTAGAGTTGGAGCTAAACTCTGAAGGAAAGTGACCTGGAAGGGCCAAGTTTGCCCACCCCTGGTTTAGAAAATACGATGGAAAAGTGGAAAATGAATGTTTTGACTACCGTTTGTTGGAGGCTCTAAAATACAACCTGATTTGCTTGAGAGGAGGCTCCACAGACTGTCGTTAAAATTAGCAACAGAATTGTCTTTTAAAAGGCCATTGTATGATTCGCACACTGTTAATTTGAATATTTATACTGGTTTTGCGTTTATTCACGTTACACTCTAACGTTATAGTTTAATAGCACGACGTCACGCCGCACCCGCCTCAGTGAATTTGTGCTCACTCCCGAAGAGTCCCCAAACACAAACACTACACGACGAAACCGGACAGAAGATCACCGATTGTGTGATAAAATGACCGTTATATCACCAAAAGAGTCATTTAAAGCACACTGTTAATCAGGTATGTGTGCGATATATTGGTCCTGAGAGCGTCACTCGGATGAAACTAAAGCGCAACATGTTGTATCATAATGTTAGCCGTTAGCTGAGATTATCTTGTTAGCGCTCGAATATACTCTTGAATTAATCAAAACAAACCATAAACCAAAAACACCACTTCTGAGCTCGTGAAAACACAACAAATGTAACTTTAAAATAAGTCGCTTCTGATAGACACTGCAAGAAAATCCTTACAGAGATGCGATTGTCTGACATCTATTGTTGTAATGACAGCACGCACGTTACGCAGAGACATACATTTACTCTCCATGTAAACAGTACACATCATGCCTGTTGTACATATGCACAGAGACATTTATTGTAGTCTACGCTTAGAAACACACATTAACGCTTAATACACACACACTCATACTTAATACGACACATATTTAAGCATTGCAATCATCACTGGATTTGGCTCATCTTTACTGTATGTCTGTGAAGGAGCATTACAATAAGACTTCCAGTACACTTTCTAAATTTACATACAATGGTATGAAAACTTTTACTTTGTAAGCAAATTACCTGAAGACTGCAGAATAAAATGAGAAAAAAACATGACGCTTTTTTCTCTCGTCATTCTTCTCCTTGACTAAAAATGTAATTTCATGTCCCCTTTCCCCACAAGGTTTCAGTTTTTTCCTGCCTCCAGTCATGTCTTGTCGTGACGTTCATGCCACCAATGCTTTCGCCTTCATCATCGCGATGCTGTCAGTGGGCGGTCTGACCGTCACCACGCTCATTCCCCAGTGGAGAACCACCCGCCTGCTCACCTACAACCGCAATGCCAAAAACGTGACCGTGTACGACGGCCTGTGGACCAAGTGTGTGCTGCGAAATGGTTCTTCGGGTTGCTATTACTTTGATGCAGACTGGTATGCGAAAGTAGACCAATTGGACCTCAGACTGCTGCAGTTCTGTTTACCTGCTGGTAGGTGCTCATGATGGGTACAGTGAACTCGTTCTTCAGTTTATAAGGCTGTATGAACTACTTTTTCCTCCCTAATTCCATGTTTTCCATTTTAATAGCTTAATTTTAAAGAGGCCATATGATGCTTGTTACTGTTTTCTTTTTGTATGTGTTTATGTATAAAATCTGCAAAGTTACCACAAAACCACAAAGGGATTTATTCTAGCAAACAGAGAACACTGCTCCAGACTTGCCTAAAATGCACTGATTGAAGTCTAGATGTTACTTCTGCAAACATCTACATCACAGTTTGAAATCTTAGCATAATGCCTGCCCAAAGGCATATGCAAAGTAAGAAGGTCAGGTGAACTGTAGTCTCAGCCTCAGACGTCACGCCCACGGACCGTTGGCTGAATGCCTGATACATACAGCACACAAAACTGGAAACACTTAAAGGTCCCCTGAAATGCTTAGAAACACGCAGCGTTACTCTGTGTTGACGTCATTTGAACTGAAACAGGAAGACAGGGTGGGACATATCAAGCAGCCCCGCCCCTTTTTAAAATAGCCAATAGCGTTCGTTTATATCACAGCTTGGACTAGAGCCGTTCAGAGCCATTGAGCTCCGTAAAACCGCATTAGACAGGGTATGCCAGCCACAATCTCATCCATATTGCTATAAAATATAGCATGCTGTGTAGAATTCAAATAGCTCCGATACACTTTGTGGTCTGCGCCGACTCGCGCATGTGATCCGCTCCGT